GAGAGGGAGAAGCAGGCTTCCCGCCGAGCAGGGCGCCCGATGCGGGGCTCGATCCCAGGACCCTGGGATCATGACCTGAGCCGAAGGCAGACGCTCAACGACTGAGCCACCCAGGCGCCCCCTCCCTCACATTTTAAAGGCTTGTGAATATCTTGTCTACAGAAGAATGTGGGTGCCCATGGAACCACCATTCCAGGGACCATACTATTTGCTGCTCCCAAAAGCAGCTGTGTGCCCTCCGTGGCTGCAGCCCCTCACCCCAGGGAGACCACCGCCTTGCACCTGCGTGGGGACTTTCTGTGTGGGGCTCATCCCGTGTGTCCTCTGGGCCCACTGTTCTTGCTCAGCATCGTGTCTGTGACTTGCCCGCATGGTTGCCAGTCCTGAAGGCTCTGCTATCACAGGAATGCACCGTGGGTGTCCATCCCTTGTCCACGCTGTGGAGGGACATGCGTGCACATGTCTGCATTCCGTGAGTTGTGCGTCACCCCTCACCCAGACCGGGGTTCCTTGGCCCTGCATGCATGACAGCATCTGGGTTTCCAGCCTTTTCCACTTCACATAAATACGGGCACAGTGTTGAGTAGAGCTTTTGGTTTTAATTACATTTTCTGGATTCTAAGTAGGGCTTGGCGCCTTCCACGTTTCTGCTTCGTCTGCCTCTTGGGAGGCAGCAGTTTGAGACTTCTGCCCATTGTTCTGTCTCCCTTTTTGACTCTAAGGGTTTCTTTATATTTTCTAAATAAGTCTGTTGTTGATTATAGGTCTTGCACATGATCTGCTCTAGCATTTGCCTTTTTTGCCTTCTGAATGGTACGTTTGGTGGACAGAAGTTCTTCATTATAACACAGTAAACTTACCAGTCTTTTCCTTTATGGTTAGTGCCTTTATGCCTTGCTTAAGAAATAGTTCCTTACTTCAGATTCATAAAGATGTTTTCTATATTGTTGTTTGAAAGTTTTATTGCTTTGCCTTTCTTAGGTGTTAATGAGAAGGAGTTAATTTTTGTGCAGGATGCAAGGAAGCACTGATTATGTATATTTTTGCTCATGGATTCCTGGTTGGCCCAGCATCCTGCCCCCGTCGTAAACCTGTCCATGGGGTCCTCTGTTGTGTTTCCTTGCGCTGCTTTTGGTGGGCACGCACAGCAGAATAGCTCTCCCACGGGGCTGCCCTCCTGGAGACTTCCTCCATGCCTGCCCTGCTCATAGGAGCTGCCTTCCCTGGCCCTCTGGTCCTAAGAGTGTTTTTCATGACATTTTTGTCACGTGTGCCCACGGCTCAGCATAGCGTCCCGACTGGGTCAGCTTTCAGGCCAAAGTTGGGGGCTGAAGGAGGAGAGAAGCCGAGAGCCTCCTGCTGCACCTCGTGTTGCCGTGTGTCTGCAGCGGTCTGGCCAGGCTCTGCCTCCCGTCCTGAGCAGCACAGAGGCTGCAGTGGGCTGACCTCCCGCTCGCAGGGCGGTTGGCTGAGGTGAGCTCTAGGTGACGTGTTGGCAGCCGCATACCGTCCCCGGCCCCAGCGTCGCCGTAGAAAGTCGTGTGCTGGTCTTTCCTCCTTTGAGAATAACTTTTCTCTTGCTGCTTTTAAGATGTTTTCATTGTTGGGGCGCCCGGGTGGCTCAGTCGGTGAAGCGTCTGCCTTCGACTCATGGTCTCGGGGTCCTGGGATGGAGCCCTGCGTCGGGCTCCCTGCTCGGCAGGGAGCCTGCTTCTCCCTCTGCCTCAGCCGCTCCCTCTGCCCCTCCCCCTGCTCTTGCTCACTGTCCCTCTCAAATAGATAAATAAAATCTTAAAAAAAGATATTCATCTTTGGTTTCCTGCAATTTCAGAACTGGGAGTGGATTTCTTTTTGTTTATCTTACATGAAATTCTTTGGGCTTCTTCAGTCTGGGCCTCTGAACTCCTTTTGAAAAATTATCACCATTTTCTCTTCAAATATTGCCTCTGCATATTTTCTCTCTTCTCCTTCAGAGGCTCTATGGAATGTATGTTCTCCTTTATCTTTTATGTCTTACCCTCTTTTTTTTTTTTTTTTTTTTATCATTTATTTGATAAATGGTTCTTCTACCAACTCAGACACTGTGTTTTTAATTTTAAATTCCATTGTTCATTGATGGCTCTCAGTATAATTTTTTCAAATTTTATTTTGTTATGTTATGTTTTTTTTTTTTT